TAACAAATGCACAATATCCTCCTATGTCACTTACCCTCCTTCTACTCTAACACCAAAAATAATGTAAAAGAACCTAGCAAAATTATAACTAGCTATGCACAGCTAGGACAGTAATGTGAAAGCCTCCAGCTAGGATATTTTTTTAAATCAGATGACTATTATTATTATTTTTTTGAATAACCTGAAATATTTTACTGTTTCCTCAAGTGAAGAGGTTTCTGCCAAAAACTGAAAGGCACCTATAAAAGCAAGGCAAAATCACTACAGCCACAGGACAAAAGTTTCAAAAGCCATTAAATCTCATTTCCCTTCAGCTCTTCCAAGAATTTGATAGAATTGTACCTTTGTCTGTTTGGTTGTTCTTAAATCACAGATTGCCTACAGTGCTTCAGTTGCATTTGGATAGGGATAAATATGTACAAGACCATTTCTGTGTCAGCTATCTTGCTCATGACACTCGGTTGGAAAAACTACCTCCTACAGCTAGGATAAACTCCATTCAGCTGGGATCAAGATAAGCAACAATCAGAGGACTGTCACAGCAAAGTCAGTATTCTGATAAAGGGAGATGGTACTCTGGGAACCAGAAGCTGGGGAAGTGCATACGTAGCCGTGATCCTGCAGATGAATTTGGAATTCAATGGCAAGAGAAGTCAGCAACCAGTGATTGTACACAGGGGAGACAACAGCTCATCTTCCTCTACTGAGCATATGCAGCCTAGAGGTGTTCCCCAAGGGAACATCTTGACTGAGAATTCCCAGATCTCTCCTTCAAATAGGCAATAGATGATTCCAATAAATACAAAACATATGTAAGTGCACTTACCCCTTACAGGTCTGCTCATCCATTAACATCCAGGAATTCATTTTCAACAGGCTTTTGAAGTAGTTATCTATAATTTCCTTCCACACAATATGTGTTTACTTTGCAAAATCAAATTCATGCTTAGAACTCAGAGCAAAACACAGAGGGCCCATGGAAAAAACCTAAATGTGTACATTATAGAGAAACAATGGAAAGCAGTTCCACAAGTAAGTGTTACAATGGTCTATTTTGTGTACTGATTGCTTAGAGCTACATGAACGTTATAACCAAAGCTCTGTATTCTTACTGCTTTTGTCAAGAGAAGAGGAAATAAACATAGTTTACTGCTAGAAGAATAAAGGCAGGGCCATAAATACTTATCATGCATCATAGTTACAAAAAAATCCTTCTTAAGAGTAGATTATGATCTTTCTTATAGCTCAGTAATGCAAAAAGGCTAAGTATTCCTCAAATCCACTTTTCTTCTGGGCAATTTAGAGGTTTGCCATTGCCAATTACAATCACAAGTTGAACACATGCCGGAGGACAGGAGGAAGCTACAGTAAAGAGAAATCTCAGCTGCAGTTTTGCTGAAATCTGGTCAGGAATGGGGGAATAAATTAGAATTTGTCAACTCAACTGTGGAGTGTGCTTTCATTATCCTGTTCAAGCCACCCGGTTTTCACAACCTCTGCTGTAAAACATTTTGATCAAAACTATGGTTTTGGTCGATGCAGTACTGAATAGGTCTTTCAGTGCCATTCCCTATTAGAGGAGGATTTTGTTAGCAATTGGCTGAGCAAATTCCCACTCACAATAACAGCTGTGAACCCTGCTGAGGGCATCTGTTGGGTAGTTAATACTTGTTGGGAAGTATCTCACTTTAAGTGTGTTTTGTTTACAAAAGGAATTCCTATGCTTTTTAACACAGTGTTAAAGATATTGCACCTCCTGTTTGTTTACATATGATGTTCGATCCATGTTGTCTTCGTTCACTCATACTGATTTTCCTCCCTACAGGGGGCTAACATATCGAAGGGCTTTTTTGATTGCCTTCAAGTTTCAATTGAGTTATAATAATAACAGCCTAGATACAGAAAGGTTATTAAATGAAGTGTTGTAAAAGGCTGCTGGCCGAGTTCTTTCCTTTCTAGCGTGCAAAAATAAGGAGAAACTCCATAGTAGCTAAAATTCAAATGGAAGTCAGAGTAAGCAGGACCTACAGTATCTTCCGCAGCAGTAGCAAGAGCAGAACAGCCACCTCTCCTCCTGTGGCTATCACTTTTTAAGGAGTACTGTCTGTCCAGACTCCACATACTCCACGCTAAATTCCTTTGTCCTGCAGGGGAGCCACATGAATTCCTCTGGACATGTGAAGGGATGCTAGTGTGAAACAGATGCAAGCCTCTTTCAAGTTATCTTGCCAATATAAAACCCAAGAATACAAAGCTCTGCAAAAGTTGGAAAAGGTGTCATGTTAGAGTATCTTTGTTAACAGCACATCTCCAAAGCCTCTAAGAAAGTCTATAGTGTCATTGATACAGTAAGCCCTTCCCCAGGCCTGACTCACTGTCATTCACACAGTAAATATGCAAAGGTGGATCAGGCACAAACATCCCCAACCTCCAGCGATGAAGGAACCCTCCAGTGTAACCTGTACAAGCAAGGCAGAGGTGCACATCAGTGTAGGGATGGAGGATGATCCCAGCAAATTACTGCCTAGCTCACCAGCAGATGAGGTCGGTTCTTCCTCAAAGTAATCTGAACGCCTTGAGACAGGCAATAAGGGTGCAGAGGAGTACGGAGACTATACTGCTCAGGCCTACTAACATGCAGAAATAGGAATAAAAGCAGTATGTGGGGAAATCATCTCCTCTTCATCTACAGAAGTTGATCCTCATGACTAATAGCTGTTTAAATACATGTGTGAATGTTAAAATTCTTGCTTAAATACCTGCAGAACTGGTGACCAGTCTGAAAAGGTTCCTGGTGCAGAATTCCCTCTTGCAGACATGTATTAAAAGGAGACTGAAAACTGTTTAAGTTCACACTTGCAGGCACAAGGTAGGAGGACATTTATAATAGTGGCTGGCTCAAGCAGATACTGCTCATCAAGATAATACACACTTCCTATGTACATACAAAAGCAATGGCATGTTTTTGGACAACCATTCAGAAATTTTAGGAAGAAAACAGGATGTACCACACAGCTGAATTCCGATGGTATGTGTCAGCAAGCTCAGTCTGAACATAAAAACACTGTTGTAAACACTCGCATTCATGGAAGAGTGCTACAGATTTAATGTTAAGTATGAAATGATTTAATTTTGTCTTCCATTTGCAAGCTAATACCTTCTGTAGTAAAATGTCTTCCAGCAGTTACATGAACACATAAGTTTAGAACAGCATCAAAAGAAACCGATATAATAATTAACAGTACTTCTTTTTTGCAGGATCTCTCCTTTTCCCTGTGTTCTTCCATCAAACTACATAGGAAATCTAGCAGATGTTTAGCTCACATGCTTATTTAAACAGGGTCCAGATAGGTCAGTATTGTTATATGTGTTACTTTGGTGAAGGCGTATTTCCTGTTCACATCTTGCCCCTCCATCCTATCCCAATTCTGAAACTGTTTTCCAAATGTTTTCAAAGAGGCATGATTACCATTTCAGAAATACATATCTGACATAGCAGCTCACAAAAGTAAACATTTATTTAATAGCAAATAAAACTAAGGTCCTTCTGGGTGTAACTTGCAAATCCAAGGCCTAAATCTGTGTTTATGTAAACTGATCTGGTGCTCCAGATTTATTCCTAACATATACTAACATGAAATGGCAACAGAATGAGATTCTTATGAAATAATTTATTCACCTTCACACTGGACACGTTACCATTCTGATCTAAGAGCCAAGGACTGTGATGGTACTTAAGCTTACTTTGTACTGAAATCCACAATAGATTAAAGCTTTCTACTGAAAGATGTCATATTACAATACTGAAATTCCGTGTTGATGTCGTTACCTGTCAACCACTGTGATATGGTAGCGCTACCCCTTTACAGTGCTGTGGCTGAGTGACATGAATGAACAGAAAGCAGACTTTCCTGGTATACATAGTTTTGCAGTGACTGAACCTCAAATGCAGGGTCAGTCACCTGAATCAGACTTACGCAGTCTTCAAAATAAAGTGCTAGCTGAAACTAGACCTTTGCTGTATATTGAAAATACTCTACGAAAGCAGGCACTCCATAGAATTGACTCCACTTCTGAAAGGCTTGTATCTGTGTGTAGGATCTAAAATTTGCTATCACACTAACCTCACAGTATTAATGCGGAGGATTAATATATGTACACTATAAATCTGTACACATGGATAAGATTGTATTACAGTAACACTATCACTTTCATACTGCTAGTTTAATTTCTGTTTTTTTCCACTTTTTCTGCCTAATGTCAAAGATGTGATGTATAGATGAAGGATGACCAACTCTTAATTTTTTGCTTTCTACTGAATCTTATACATATGGTTGTGAGCTCACAATATACAAGACAAAAAGGTCTGAAGAAAACATCATCAATGTTTCAGAAGAACTGCACACTGGTGACTTTCCTTAAATGATTCAAAGTAATTACCACTTATTGAGGAAAAATAGAAAATTAAAGCAAATCATCAACAAAAATATCACAGGACTAAACTAAAAATACAAACTAAGAGCATCTTGCCAAAACCACATAAAATGAAGAAAGGCTTTGGCTAGTATGCAAGAACAGTGACATCTTGTGGGGGTTTTACAGAAGTGAGTTTACAGAAGGACAGAGCAAACTAATCTGCAATGTTGTGTCATTAAAAGAAACACTACTGCAGTAGCTTATTTAATACATATACCATTAATAATATTTGGTAGAAATTAGGCTTTATTGCTTTTATAATGAGGAATGAAATTTTTTTAAAAAGGCAGATAAATAGCTAGTAAGAAAAACTTTCAGAACAAAAATTGAAGGAGTGGAGTCCAAATAGCTCTGCAGCAGTTTCCTCTGCTCTCCCAGGAAGTAGTTATATTTATCACTTAAATATTTCTCATCCGATATAATAATGACATCAGGGCAAAGTTATAAGAGACTAAACAAGGAATTATGTTGCACAGGCATACAGTCAAACATAAAAATGACATCCATATTACGTGTTTTTTTTAAAACACATACATAAATATTTAATAAATAAAGCATGGATAATTATGCTGTTCTTTTCCACTGATTAACAGACTATGCCAAATTCCTTATACGTACTTCTTGAGAAAGCAAAGTTATATTACAGTGGAAAACTAAAATAACATATCCTACTTTCCAGTACAGTATGCAGTATTTGGACCCTTCAGATTGTATCAGAATATATGAGTTTCTGGAACAAATCTTCAACTGCTGTAAAGTGTCATAACTCAGCCAAGATATTCAACTCTGACAGTTTACAACAAGCAAAAATGTTTTGATTTTTTTTTTTTTTTAAAACAAGTTTGCACCCAAACTAAGTTATAAAAACATTTACAACCTGGAAGATGATAGATTTTCCTACCATAATGTTCATGTGTTCATCTTATTTTCTTTTACCTGAGTAACCTAAGTAAACAGATTACAAGGCAATTTAAACATATTAGCTAATACAAGGTTTACTGGACTTCTCATATATAGAAATGTACTTTGACACTATTTGCAGTTTTACAAATACAAAATGAATAAGAATTTGAAAACATGTTTACTGAGCAGCCATGTCTTTGATATCTGTACAGATCAACAGGTGCAGTGAAGTTATGTACAGAATCTATCATTTAATTTTTAAACAGCTTTTGTGCCACCTGAATGTAATGTGCATTTAAAGAACTGCTGTCAGCATCACAGATCTGTAATTCACTGGTGCCAGAAATGGAGAGTACAGAACAGGACAACAGCTCCTAAAATAATACTGTGCTATGCAGACATCTGTACATAATTCAAATAGTGCATATTACTCAATGTCTGATGAGGAATAATAGCTGCTAATACAGACACGGGCATTTACAGGTATTAGGTTTGTTATAATAAGTATGGTTGAATGAACTTTTCCATATATAAACATTAAAGGAAAGCACTTGAATTAGGAAGTTATGTAATAATTAAAGAAGGGAAGTTATGTAATAAATAATGAAACTTTCAATTCAACTTGCAGATTAGTACAGTAGGAAAAAAATCCTTTACAGTAGCAATGAAACCATTCAGAAGCACTGTCAAATCAACGGGAATTCAGTTTTATTTTATAATCATACCAACTGAACATAAAAAAAAAAATCAACATGAAAAAATTAGTTTATATCTGATATTCTTGTTAGTATACTTCTGTGTTATTGTACCTGTCGGATGTTTCCTCCTCTTTTTGTGCTCTATTCACTCTATCACTTTTATTATTTTTTTTAAAATTCTTTAGTCCAACCAACATAAATCCATAGACACTAAAGCACAGTGAATGTGCAATTTGCAGACTGGTGTGAGTGAAAAACCATAGGAATATAATTACTTTTATGAGGTAAGCTTGGAGTAACTTGGAGGAGAAAATTTGCGCTTCAAGTACTTGATAATGTAAAGTGGAAGACAGCTTACAACAGTGATTGCTGACACTTTCCACAGGAAGGTCACAGTTGTGATAAAGGCAACATCTGCAGAAACAAAAAGGGAAAATAAGTAATGGGAGCTAGTAACACAGAAACTGGAACTTCCACAGTGCAAAGTCAATACAACTCTCAATTGCATGCTTATGCCATTGTTCAAGACCATGCAAAAAAAAAAAAAAAAAAAAAAAAAAAAAAAAAAAAAAAAGGCAACAAAACAACATAAAGTTAACCTCAACATTTTGATTTTGCCTACTATTTTCTTCAGCCAGGAATTTTAGAATTCCTTTATGGTCCTTACATTGTTTTGCAGCACAAAATAATTTTAGGGGAAACAGAATCTCAGTTTAAAAGCTTTCTCATAATAAAAAGCTAAGCCAGCTTATTTTTCTAGTAAGAATAACTTTTTGCACACTATAATACAAGTTCCCAATCACAAATTCTGCTAACATTTTGGATCTTTTATTCCATATTCAGCTTATTTTTCCCTGAAACAGTCACGACAACTAGACTGAATGATTCTTAAAACCTTAGAATTAAACTAGAGCCCCCCAAAATTTAAAGGGAAAATAACATAGTGATATTGCCACAAGCCACAGTGGAAAAACTATCTTTTGTGACAAATATTAACAAGAATGGTGACATTACTAGTCTTACTAGTAATAGACTTACTAGTGACATTTTTTGACTACATTTGTGACAGTCAGGTCATACTTAATTATCATGGAAAGATCCCAGAACCCAGGTAACCTGAAGAATTGTGTTTTTTTGCTTTTTTCCATTATTTACAAATGTGTATATTAAATAATTTACTACTCCTTAATGAATCGTTAAAGACTTTAAAAAAAAATTCAAGGAAAGTTGAAATTCACCTACCTAAGAAAGCTCCAAAAGACACTCTGCCTATACCTGTTTCACAAAGAGGGAGAATGAAAATGAAAAGATTTACAGAAAATAAACAAGTTGTGTGAAAAAAACAAAAACAAAAAAAGAGGTTAGCTACACAGAACAGAAATGAAAAATATGTTAGTAGCAGTAACTGGAATATTATTGCCTTTCACATGACAATCAGAATATTTTAAACAGTAATTAAACCAAAACAGTTTGAAAATACAAAGATTTTATATTTGGTCATGTTTTAAGGTTGTAAGTATGCAGTTTTGTTACATTTGACTTCAAGGTATAATTTACTGTATAAACAACTTGATTGGAACTGTTCTAATGTGAATGAAAATTCACTTCAGAAAATGTAGTAAAGAAATGCTTTACTGCTCCAACTTTACTCATTAAAAATATTTTGTATCTTAAATTTCAACATATAAACTTGTTATACAGTTTTAGCCTAAGCCTGCTTAGACATACTAAAAGCCTATGTAATATATCAGAGACGTGTCTAATAAGGCCATTGTGTGCAATTAACTCAGAAATCTAAAAACTGATTTACTTCCATGAGTTAGAGCTGTAGAGCAGTATCAAATATTTTCATCTTTTTGAGTGCCCTGTCATAATTTCTCTAGGAGGAGATGATGCTTAGAAGTAACATCATTGAAAGAAACAGTCTACTTGCTGAAGTCAAGCAGTACTGGACTGGATTGTTCTTCCCTGATATATGGAAGTTGTTTATACCTTGAACTGTAAACCATCACTTAGGTCTATACTACCTTACATGCATAAAAAATGGCTCCCTCCCTCCAGTTATAATTTGACAGATTAAATAACAGTAAAGCATTAAACAGAAGTGAGACTAACAGAAATGCATTTTCTCAGATTAACTGATGTATAGCACAGTGTAAAATACATCTTTACAAAAGCCCATGAAATTGCAGCCTTTTCAGTACCCCCCCAATGATGAAAAATACAGAAGTCCCCAGGCATGTGACCATTTATGTACTCAGTTGCTTGGACTTGTCCAACAAATACATGAGGACAGTAAAGCACTCCCCTTTATGCAAAGGTTTGCAAGAAACAAGGTCCCTGCAGTTTGTATACATCTGTGAACACCACACTTGAAGGTGTTTCTCCCTGAACAACACCTACAAAGGATGGAAGGACTGTCTGTCACCAGTACTAAATTCTTACAAAGGTGAAGCAGCAAGTTCTGCTTCATGAAGTTCCTGGAAGTTTGATCTAAAGAGCCACTAACTGTATCTGTTCTTGCTTGTTCCTTTCATTTGTAATATGGCTGTGGAGATTCAGGACTCAAACCAATAATCTCTATTAAAGAGTCTCAGCATCAGTGTCAGAGAACAGAAAAAGGTACTCTGGTAAACCTGAAATAATGTGCAACATGAGTACCAAGAGCCCAGCAGGGTTGTTTCTTCATTAAATTATGACTGCTGAGAAATCTGGGAAGTAACAGAACACCTGGGACAGGCAGTAAAGCAGTTACTGATTAAAAAAAATAAATTGTATTATACAAGGATACTACCCAAATGTTGAACATCTGGGACATGAGAGAGTGAAAGCAGAACTATGAGACTTCTAGAAACTACCGTATAATATTTAATTCTGCTATGAGAAGTGACAATTGAAGAAGGGCAACTCTATTTGTCAGCTCCTGGAAAATGGAGAGAGGAAGAGCTAGATTCTACCCCTTGTGAGGCATTATCAAAATTGTTATATGTATTTCTGTAAAAGTTACATTTGTAAAAATCACATTAAGACTGAGATAGCTTTTACTGAAGAATAATTTGACATGAAAAGAAATCTGTATTATTTTGATGCTCAGATCCTTGACTGTTGAGATTTGCAGTTAAAATGTGTTCTTTCATCTTGTGAACTGTGAACAATCATAACCTTAAGACACAGTATAGTATACTGCAATTTAATGCAAAGCAAGCTTAATATAAGTTTACTATAATTATGAAACAATGATTCTTATATAGATTATCTATCCTAATAGTCTTTTGCCTCACTGAGAAATACTTCAGCTCTTTTAAGCTTGTGGGTTACATCTAATGAGATCCACTTGGTCTGGCATACTAAGTAATTCACCAACTCAGTGAAAGACGCTAATATTTTTAAAATGCTATTTGCAGCATAGTGCAAATCCAAAGCCAATTTAAGGTATGCAGTTCGGACTGTGAAGATCAGATCAAGGATGGGAGAAGCATGCATGCTCTGAGTAAAGTTTATGATCTAGATGAATCATACTAACAGGAAAAAAGATTGTCAAACTGTAGAAGAAAAGGGTAAGAGAATATTTTAAACCCTACATTATTTAAATTTAATTTCAACTCAGTTATATTTCTTATGGAGAAAGCTGTATTGCACAATGTATAACATTGTCTACTCTTAATTTAAAAAAAAGAGAAAAAAAAATTAAAAATATAAAGCACAGTTCTTTGCTAAAATACTTTTACTCACCAAAGTATTCATTTAGAAATGCAAGAGAGGCCACATAGCAGCCAAGACTGAGGAATTCAGCCACCACCATTAACCAGTGCCATGTTCGTATGGTCAGTGCAACCATCAACAGCTCAGTCAAGATTAGGGCAGTGAAGGAAATGGCAACGACATGTACAAATTCAGATTCAAAAAGCAGCAGGGCTCCATACATCAGAATACCACCTAGGAAAGGCACACAAAGTTAACAATACACTCTGCAATAAAATTTCAGCGTACCAGTTTTTACAACTGCACACTGAACATTTGATTTCTTATTATGAAAACTTGCCCAGTAATTTTTTTATAAGGTAATACTGATCTTTCTAAAAGAAGTGATATTTACTGTACTTTTTGCATTTGATATAAAACAACCAAAGTAAAGCTGTGAAGAAATAAAACTATTAGAAAATTAAACACCTCTTAGTGCCGTGTATCTGATGAACTGTTAATTAACCCAATTTTGTCAAATGCTACAAATAAATGAGATACTGTTGAAAGTGTAATTACTTTTAACTGATTACATAATTCAGATTTTTTTGACAGTACTTCTGTCATTCCATGAAAGAAGACTACTGTGTAAATAAATGCAATGTGATAAGCACTCATTAAAATTTTTCTGGATTAGCATTTAATTAAAAAGATGTCCTTTTTTAGGTGACATGCATCAATAAATATACCAATCCACACCGTGTTTCGAATAGGCCTGGCACACTACCGGAATATCGATTTACGAGATAAACAGAAAGCAATATATATAACTGCTGATGAAATGTTAAGCTTTGGGAATTCAACCTGCAGCTGAAAAACAATATTGCTAATAGCAGACAAAAAATTCTCAGTTCAGTAAAATTAGGATTCTCTCCTACCTTGGTAAATACTGATTAAAACCCAGATGAGGAAAGTCTTAAATGACAAAGATCTTCCCTAAGGAAAACATGTGAGAAGACAGTTAAACACAAGTTGTTTTTTGTTTTTGTTTTTAAATCCAAACTCCTAAAATCTACTCAGTTCATATATTTTTAATAGTTAATAACTACAGAGACGTTTTACAAGTAAAATAAGCAGTCTTTGAAGTGATATAGGCCAGAAAGCTTCTACTTGTTTTTATGATTCTTAATTGCAAACTTGTATAGAAATTACACAAAGTCTAAATTTGGGCATATAGGACAAGTAAGGCCTTAAACAGCAAAGATACTTTAGCTTGTAATGCTCTGGCTGGTTGTCAGAGGGATAATTACAGTAAAAACAGTTTATTTTTTATTTAAAATGCTTTTATGTCTGCTTTGTAAAACACAGTCTTAAAGAAAAACAGCATTTTGTACCCACTGATCTAAACCTCAAAACCATCATTCCTAGTCACTTCTAAATGTTGGATAAACTGTCTATTTGCATTCATACAATAAACATGACTCCTCTAAGTTTTCAGCAAGGAACTATTACCTAATACATTTTACTTCATCCTGTGATTGTGAATGTTACAGATTGAAACATATACATAATTCAAAGAATAAATGCTGTACATCTGCATATGATTCTTTCATTCTCTGAGGGTACTGATGAAATATGTTAGAAATGTGGAGTTGAAAATATACACATTTAAAAGGATAAAACGGCAAACAAAGCAGCCATTGTGATCACTCTAGAACAGGCAAGAATCAACATTTACAAAGAAATGTGCTTAGTTACAGTAGAAAGCGATGAGTTAACTCTATTACTTCAGTAGATGCTAAAACATATTCTTAGATCGACAGAGTTCATGGCAAGGTGCTAAGGACATTTTCATTCAGTATACAGTCTAGAATGTTGGTGACAGACTGAACATACAGGAAGAAATATTGTATCAGCACAAAGAAACATTAGATTTTTTCTTTTTCCTTATGAGTGGCTACTCACTGTCCTTTGAGCACTGGACATTGCTTTCCACCTTTGACCATAGCTCCCAGATAGCAAGATTTGTGAAATAAGAATGAACCTGAGTTTTGGTTCACCTTTATGGACTTCTGAGTCTCCAGGGAATGCTGCACAACAGGCTGTGAATCATTTTCAGATGAAAGCAGGGAGGCCTTGTACTTCCTTTCCAATTTTCACCAGCTTTTCTAGCTATAACTCCATAGGAGCCACAGTAATACTGAATCAGTGTGCCCTCCAGGGTATGTGGCCACACCTGTCTCTTCGAACCTTGCTAACTTTTTCTTCTTCTTGCACTGGTACACGAGTCTGTCAATGACTTGTGCCAATATATCTGATTCTTTTAAAAATCTAAAAAGCATTCTCATCATTAGCATACCCCAGAAAAGAAACCAATTCCCAGGAATACAATTAAGTCCATGTCAAGATGTGTTTGAACAATACTGAGTAGCATTGGTAGAGATTTGCATTTAGAGTCCATAATTTGAAAAATGATGTGCAGAAATATGTAGGCTTCATAGTGTCAAAACTAAGGCAGCATGATCATAATTGTTGTAATAAACACTCACATTACCTGATAATAGTGAATTCAAATATAGCACATAAATAACTTTTTGTACTACTCATCCATTATCATTCACTGATCACCATCTGCCCCACATAATGCACTGAACTGTACTTTCCAGTCCTTGACATTCTTTTTTTTTTTTTTCTTTTCTTCCAAATAGAATTATTTGGATTCTACTTATTTAATATTCATAGAGGTGCAACATAAGCTAGGAAAGCCAGTGATTCAGCATCTCCAAGAACTGTCATATAAACCTAAACAAAAGATTTAGCCTGCATTCATCTACCCATCCTGGGCAGTTTTTGAGTACAGGTTAACTTTTGTTTTTGGAAATAAGATACTTCCAAGTTCCATCAACAGGTTTCCACAGGCAAGCTTACAACTGCCTTTAGCAGGTGTAAGAGCATGCTTTTATGAGATTAATTATAGGCTGAAATCTCACATAGAAACTTTAAAGGTTCTGAAGAGGAAAGAGAATCAAGAGCTCCAAGTTCTCCCAGACTAACATAGCATATTTTGTACAATTAAAAAGACAAAGCCTCTGAAAAGTCTGGACCCTCATTGAGTAGAGTCTGCTTTTCAAAGAAGACATTTCTAAAAGAATCTATCCTAAAAAGACTATCTACTTATGCCTTGGATCATAACTTTTCTAGCTGACAGTTTAAGATGGAGTGGAAGTACTTTTCAAAAAAATTATGGAAACTTGAGATTTGTTTCACTTTGATGGGTAAAGAATTATACGCTTTCATTGTTTGCAGATAAGTGCACAGAGAACAGTATCTACAGATGGTTCAGTTAAGATAAATAAGTTATCAACATCTGCTATTAAAGAAAGTCAGCTTTTGGAGTGGTCAGTAGTAATTTCAGGGGGTTGGGTGGGGGAAAAAAAAACCCTACAAATTAATCTACCTGTTAAAAGGGAAAAGGAGCTTTGAAGAAGTAAGCATAAATAAAGCCAGACTGAGAGCAACTTTTACATCAACATACCTTCATGTTTGAATTATTTAGGTTCAACCATTGGTGACTTAACAAATGTACGAATAAAACTGAGTGATACATTTGGTACTGCAGATTATTTTCATAGTACAAAAGTCTGCATTACATTAGTTGTGCATCTGTCTTGCATGGAGTACCTTAAGAAAATGTAAGAATTCCCAGTTTGGTACACCAGAGATTTCAGCATTTGTTCATATCTGAGCACTGAGGACATCCATACCTTTGTGAGATCCTTATAAAGTTCTGGATATAGCAATGCCATTTCTGGCTTCACATCCTGATCCAGTACTAGAGAGAAAACTGGAAACATAGTATATATGGTTGCATACCTAAGTGAAAGGAAAGCACATAAACAGACACTTTAAAATCATATCATACAAAACTGAACTACTGAGTTCAATTATTCTTTTTATGTAAGGGGAATTAAACTGGTGATTCTACCCAGTACTGAGGCAGCTTACCAATACATCTTTACAGGTGCAGCCTGCTCTTGCACTTTTGAGAGCTGCCAGTTCATGAGAAGTTACAGAGCTTTTATAAATTCAAAAATAGTAAATACATTTCTTACTTCTATATGCATCACCCAAGCTTGTTGCCTGTTACTGTACAACCTGTGCACTTGCACTTTGGACAACTAGTTCAAAGACCTGACATTTGAATTCATGCACTCATGATGGTATGATTCCAGACATCATGGTATAGGTAGGTGGGTGAACAAAAGTCTTAATAGCTCTGTAAATGGCTTTGGATTCTAGTAGGCATGTGCCAGATGCATACTTTAGAATGTACTTTCCTAGAACTTAGCAGAACTATTTACAAACGTTTTGGAGAGGTCTACTGCTTGCCTCTGCAATCTGGTATAATCAGACTTTGATCTGATAATGATTTAAGTTGTTATTGTTTATAAGGAGTATAAAAAGAAGCTCTTAGGACAAAAGAGGCTGAGAGCAGGGACAAACCTGAATATATTCATATCCCTCAGCTGTATGACTGGCGGAACCGTATTACTAAAGCAGATTCTGTGACATAACCAGGGTGCTCCTAATCCTGCATACATTCACCTGAATGGAAATCTATGTGGCAGACTTCGATAGTGCGCTGAGGAAATTTCATAGTCAGCAGGTTCAGCTCCATTTTTAACAGAAGAATCTATGATTCTCACTGAGGCTTGCATGGCAATCTATGTAATAGCTGAAACTGGTTTGGGAGATATGGGAGATCCTCTATTGTTTTCGCACTGTGCATGAAAAAGGCTATATGGTATTTTCTTCTAAGGTTATGTAAATCCTCCTCTTCAGAGAGGTGATAATGAGGCTTCCCCCCTCACATAGTGCATTATTCAACCTAGTTTGACTTTTCTTTGTAGACTCATTCCAGGTCTCGGTAGCATACTAGTGATAAATGTATGAAAGATGTGGCAGACACAAACTACACGATGTTATTTAAGATTAGTTTGCTATATTTATTACCAGATATCATAACTGCTGGTTTTGACTTACCCTACCATTAGGAATCCTTGGTACAAGGGAACAGATGCAAAATAGAAGACTGATGAAAATACAGCCTACAAAAAGCAGATAATGAAACATATTTAATATAATTCTATAGACAAAACATTACAATAAAGAAAAAATAACAATAATTGTTGATAAAGTTTTTGTGACATTTCAAAGACAGACATAGTGTTTTTAATTATTTAGAAAACAAAGTTTTTACCTGCATAGTTGAAATAATAAGGCCTCGGTGCATGACAAATTGACCAAGTGCTGCTGATCTTTTGTAACTGTTTCGACCATGTACCATCAGCAGCCTACCTATGTGTTTAAACTGTGTGATAGAAAAGTCAGCTGCTAGGGAAGCTTGTTTTCCCTCCTGCAATAGAAAAAAACCATTATATATATGAAACCCAGTGTAAAAGATGTGTTTCAAATTTCAAAGTTCTAAGTGATAATTAATTTTAAACCCCAAGTTAGCTCCTGCTTCAGAAACCAACCTTGCAACAACACACAAAGGACAATTTTTTTGTGCATATTCTAAGATGCAGTGGCTCTAACAATTAAGTTTAATCAACTATCCTGCTTCTTTCGGGTAAATGCTACACAGAAGTAACTATAATGTTTTCTGCTTTTCATATTTAAAAAGATAAAGCAGAAGAGAAAGAAACAAGGAAAATATTAGTTCAAAGACTAAACATTTCTATCACCTTAGAGCACACTTTAATTAGAAATGATCAATTCACTACTGTTTAAGAATAAAGCTTCTAATCCCATTACTATACTAACATGTGGCACATAGTTGATAATAAAACTGTTAACATTACCTTGCCTTCAATTCCAATTCCACAGTCTGCTGCTTGGATCATGCTGACATCATTTCCTCCATCACCTGGAAAATGTCACTGCAATATTCAGCTCTTCAGAGGTTCTACTCCTCTGGCCTTACAGTATTTTAAAAACTTCTTATATACCTTTAAATTCTTATAATTAATCTATAGTTTATGATTAATTATTTCAGCAATCAAGACTTTTTCCTGTGGAATAAGGAAGATAATCATACCTTTCTCATGCAAGGGCATTTTCTGCTACAGCTACATAATACCTGGCCCTTGATAAAGGAGGCTCTTTGGTTTTGTTTCAACTATTTCTCAATGGTGCCATCTACTGCTTATTACAGATTTTAGCTACTGCAAATGAAGATCGTGCCAACAGTTACCTATTGCACATGTGCGTTTTCCAGTGTGGTGCTGTAACAGTTTCACAATATGAGCTTTTTGGGTGGGAGAACATCGGCAGCACACTACAGCAGGACACTGACAAGCCAACTCTACAAATTCATGCTCATAATACTTCAGACAAACCTAAGGAAAAAAATACGCTTGCATTTACTTATGATTAAGTACTACTACATGCAGTCTAACACAAAAACACAGTATAAAGATTTCTTTTATGAATTTTTGCTTGCACAACACCCATTTAGGAGAAAATCCATCACATTCTCCTGACTATGGCTTCATTAAACTGACATTCTCTTTCATTTAGAGAGCCAACATGCTTTGGGGTTAAGAGAAGAGACAATACTAAAGCACACTGCATACAAATTCCATTCTGTTACCATACAGGAGACCATAGAACCTATAACATTTGCCCGTGTAGCAGATATATCTTCTAATTAGCACCCAGTAAAAAGAAGTCGTATCTCTAAGGACAAATATTGGAAAAAGAGTTTAAGATCATGAAGACACTGATACTTTATAAGCATATAGGTAAATGTAATTTGACAGAAACCAAGTTCTTACCTCTAGGGAGTCCCCAGATACCACCAAGGCACAATCATGCTTCCTCCTAAAGGCATTTAGTTCTAAGTGAGCCTCTCCTCGAGTAGTAACCTTTAATAAAAAAAGGTTTTGTTAAAATCTTAAAAAAACCCTGCGTAAATAAATCAGATTTTGAGAACTTATACCCAAAAGTCCTTCGTTCTTCAACAAGTGTTTTATCCCAGTGCAAGCCCAATACCCATGGGATGTGACTATAAGCCTCAGATCTTATGGAGCTATATTCAAGCTGACCTCTCCACCTTGGTAGGGCTACAGAAAAAAATAGACAAAAACCCAAGCAAACTCCAAACCTTTTATTTATTAACCAGTAAAATATATTCTTCGAATAATTCAAAATGTTCATATTAACATTTACTTCAGTTTAGGTAAGTAGACACAGATTTCAAAAGGCACATAAAAATACTCACTAGTACTAATCCTTTTGGACCCTGCATGAGTATGCAAGCAGGATCAGGTGGCATAATACAAAAGAACTGTATCATAGATTTTTTTTTTATTTACATAATTGTTTCAGAAAGGCCCAGCTGTGAAATGCAAAAAATGGTCAAAGGTTACCAAATAGATTTTGTGAGGTTTTGAGCTAGAACACAGAACATGAAAAATTTAAATTATGAACAGATTTTGAGGAGACTGGCAGTTTTGTTTTCTTTTTTCTCAGTAAAAGATCAATGCATTCTAGAGCTATCATGCAAGATAAAGTTCCAAGCACAGAATAACACATAAACACTGATTAAAATTATAATTTTGGCTCTGCCAGCACTTTAATTAAATAACTTTGAAAATATATGAGTCTTAATTACACTGAATGTGAAGTTTTGGCCCACTACCACCCAGAATTAGATACAGACCAAAGACCTTTCTCCCTCCAGTTGGGCTGTACGACACATAAAATCTGAGTTACATTAAAAAAGCAACTGCAAAAGAAAAACCCATACACAAGCCCCAGTTCAGAATTTTTTTTCCCCTTTCCCACAATTACAACACGTAAAGAGAAATCAAATCTCCCTGTCTGCCAACTGTGGAGAACCTTGGATTGAACTGGCCCATTACAACCTTTCTGCATTACAGAGATTAAGAGATGTCAGCACTTGGTGCACAGATGCGCAGTGATAGCCCTCTCTGTTCTACCTTTCACCCAACAGAGGTATTTTAAAAAAAATTTGTAAATACCTCTAGAACAATATATCAGTAAATTTCATTACAAACTAAAGAAGCTGAGACATCTAAGAATAAAAAGGAAGAGCATTAAAAACAAAATGCATATTTTTTGGAAGACAAAGTAGTAAATTTTTTATTTACTGATTTGTAAATAAAACAGAAGTGTTAGAGTGCTTAATATTTTCTTATATTAATCCAGTAGCTATTTCTTTACAACAAATACAGCCGCAGAAATAATTCTGTATAAATCCATTTTCTACCTAATTTAAAACTTGGTGTACTCTAAGTTAACACAGTTTTATGCTGATCTCTTATTACCAGTTGAGGTAATGAAAATAAAAATCTGACTCAACTCAATAGATTTTGTTCAGGAAGACTTAATTTGTGGTGTTACAACATGTAAAGGTCAACAAAAATTGATCTGAAGTTTTATCAGAAGCATTAATAATTTAATTGCAAATAGTAGTCTGCAGGGCCTAATTTGCCATTCTGATGCTTCAGAAGAAACTACATTTACATGTAAATTATATTCATATAATTATTTCTGTAGGTGCAAGTGTTTCATTTAGAACAAACACGGGCATATTATGTCTGATCACACAGCATCAATCAACGTCTGGAAAATCTATTTTTCTTTGGCTTCAGTAGAGTTGATGCTGTGCAAATATAACTAAAATGTATAGAAAAAGATAGTTTGTCTTTCTAACAATTATCTTAAACAGTCTGTTAATAACATGCAAGTATATATCATGATATAAAAAAAAAAATCAGCTTTTCTTATACTGATTGGAACTACATCTATACAGATGATGCTGGCATCACAGTTTAATTCAGGATTAATTCTGATTGAGTCTAGAGAGTTCTATTAATGTAAATGCTAGAACAGGCAAGAACCACATTCAGATAGCTTAAATTCCTGGACACACTTTCCTACTAGCTCAGCACCTCACACAGACCCCCCCCTCCATCATTATTCAGAGGTATCTTACTATGTCCATGGTATAAGTGAAGAGTGTAAAATGCATGTTGAACCTGGGTCACCAAAATATGGCTACAAACATTTCTGTAGCATATCAACAAATCTAGAAACAAACACACTTAAACAGAAGCAATGCTTTGTAATTCTACATCCTTGAACAACAATCTAAGTACTACTCTCTTGACTATTATTACACTCAGCACCCATGGATTTTCAAAAGGCAGCCAACTACTAAACAAATAAAGCAACATTGTTACTAGCTGTCCTTTCATGAACCAACAAACTTTAATTATACTTACAGGTCTGAAAATGTGAACATCTTGAGTCCTAGACACTAAGTGTGAACTTTTCGCAATGCAAGTTGCTGTCTCCAGTTTATCTCCTGTTAACATCCATATCTGCAACACAATGTAAAAGTTTACTCCATTGGACCGTGTCTGTTTTCCAAATCTAAATGACATCTTTCTTCAACCTTTTCCTGGTACCTTTTTGAGTTAGATTACAAGAATACACTGATATGTGCATTTTTAACTAAAATTAATGAGCGTTTTTTACTGCAATAACACAAAGCAGAAAAGAAATGTCTTTACTACAAACAGTTCCACTCCCCTTCCCTTCTCACAAGGCCCAAAGTTTGAATTTACATGAAGACAAGGTGAAATTCTGGGGAAATCCACTGGCATACCTGAACAGCAGGGAAAGCATAAAAGTCTTTCCGTATGGCCCTGATACTACCTTGATCAAAGGAGTGAGGCAACTACAAGAGAGAGAACATTTGTCAACAAAATGATGCAATGCAACAGTATGTGACCCTGGTGAGAACCTATCAGAAAGCAGCAGCCAAGCAATGAGACAGCATATCCTGGAGGAAGAAATACAAGTTCCAACGCTCCAAAGAGATCCTGCCCACTGATCACACAGAACTGGGAGGAAGGCATTAAAGTTTAAAGAATAAGGTTAAGCATCCATCTGTTCTTAAAGTGAGACAGCTCCCTCTCCCTCAGCCCTTTAACACTGAAAGTTGAAGGACATGTTTAAAAAGAGAAAAAAGGAAGTCCTGGGGAACTACAGACCGATCAGTCTTACTCCTGTGCCTGGCAAGATCATGGAGTGGATCTTCCTGGAAACTATGTAAAGGCACATGGAAAATAAGGAGGTGACTGGTGACAGCCAACATGGCTTCACTAAGAGTAAATCGTGCCTGATGAATCTGGTGGCTGCCTATGAAGGGGTTACATTGCTGGTGGATAAAGGAAGAGCAACTGACATAATCTACCTGGATTTGTGCAAAGCTTTTGACACTGTCTGCACAACATCCCTGTCTCTAAATTGGAGAGACCTGGATTTGATAGATGGACCACCTGGTGGATAAGTAATTGGCTGGGTGGTTGCACTCAAAGAGTTGTGGTCAAAATCTCAGTGTCCAAGTGACACTGAGAAAGTGGAAAGCAGTGATGACCTCAGGGGTCTGCATTGGGACAGGCGCTGTTTAACATCTTTGTTGGTGACATGGACAGTAGGATTGAGTGCACCCTCAGCAAGTTCACTGATGACACCAAGCTGTGTGGTGTGGTTGACACACTGGAGGGAAGGGATGTGCCATCCAGAGGGACCTGGACAGGCTGGAGAGGTGGGCCCGTGCAAATCTCATGAAGTTCAACAAGGCCAAGTGCAAGGTCCTGCACGTGGGTCAGGGCAAGCCCAAGCATAAAAACAGGCTGGGAGATGAGTGGATTGAGAGCAGCCTTGAGGAGGATGATTTGGGAGTGTTGGCTGACAAGAAGCTCAACATGACCCTACAATGTGTGATTGCAGCCCTGCAAGCCACTGTATCCTGGGGTGCATCAAAAGAAGTGTGACCAGCAGGTCGAGGGAGGTGATTCTCCCCCTCTACTCTGCTCTCATGAGACCCCCAACTGGAGTGCTGTGTTCAGCTCTGATGCCCCCAACATAAAAGAAGGACATGGACATGTTGGAGCAGGTGCAGAGAAAGTCACAAGATGGAGCACCTCTCCTATGAGGACAGGCCTAGAGTGTTGAAGTTGTTCAGCCTGGAGAAGAGAAGGCTCCAGGAAGACCTTATAGCAGCCTTCCAGTAACTAAGCGGCACCTACAAGAAAGCTAGGGAAGGATTTTTTGCAAGGGCATGTAGTGATAGAACAAGGGGTGATGACTTCAAACTGGAAGGGGGTAGGTTTAGATTATATATAAAGAAGTAGTTCTTTACTGTGAGGGTGGTGAGACACTGGAACAGGTTGCTCAGGTTGTGGCTGTCTCCTCCCTGGCAGTGTTCAAGGCCAGGTTGGATGGGGCTTTGAGCAACCTGGTCTAAGTGGAAGGTGTCCCTGCCCATGGCAGGGGGGTTGGAACTAGATGACTTTTAAGGTCCCTTCCAACCCAAACTATTCTGTGATTCTATGACATTTGGATGAAATACCTTTAGCCCTAGAGCAAATGAAACAGACCACAGAGGAAGTATGACTTAAGCTGCAGGAGTTATTACTGGATAGTACTGATAGTTGCAATTTTATGATGCCTCTGTCTTCCTCTTTGCTTGTATATCTCAGGTAAGATCCTTTTCATTAGTGTCCATGTGGGTCAATGAATGAACAAAAGACTCATGTTTTCTCATCAGTAACCAAGTAATCTATAATTTTATGATCTATCAACAGCTACTATTGTTTTTCCAGCCTACTATAATGCTGGTTCTAATTAAAGCCAGAACAGTTTTAATGTTCTGAAATCCTATAACTAATCATTAAAATAACCCCCAAACCCTAAAAATTGTCACACTGTTCTATACTTATTTGTAGCCAGATATACCTACCAGTCAGAAATGACCATATATAGAAGAAATATTGAGAGCAAACAATACTATACATGAAGTATTAATATGTAAGTACTTTGCACTAGTCACACCATACTAAAAATTAATTTGATGTAATCATAAGGCTTTAATCCATAGATATTTTTTCTAATTGTGCACACCAGCTAATACACCTGAAAGCCTGTGGGGAACAGGGATTAATTAAAAACAGAAAAACAAAACAGCAGATATGGGAAGGGGACTCCAGAGATTATCTAGTACAGCTCCCCAGTTCAAAGCAGGGTCAGCCATAGCAGGCTGCTCAGGACAATGTCAAGACAGTTTTGAACACCTACAAGGATGGAGACTCCACAGACTGGGAGACCTGCTCCAGTGTTTGAACACACTCACAGTAAAAAATTTTCTTCTCATATTCAAGTGGAACTTTTTTTTATTTTGGTTTGCATCCACTGTCTCTTGTGCTTTCACTGTGTACCACTGAGTCTGGCTCTGTCCTCTTTGCACCCTCCCTTCAGGTATTTATAGACACTAATAAGATCCTCCTGAGCCTGCTGAACTTCACCCTCTCATAATTACTGTGGATTGCCAAGGCCATTCCCTCAACTTTCACATCCCTGACCAATTCCTCCTTGTTTGTTAGTATGAGCACTAGTAGAGCATCTTTCCTTGTTGCATCCTCAATCACCTACGTCAGAAAATTACTGTCATTACACTCCCGACATTATCCTGGCTTGCTTGGGCCCTCCTGTCTCACCCTTCCAGCAGATACTGGTGTAGTTAAAATCCAGCACAAGGACCAGCACATGCAAATGTCAAGCTTCTTTCAGTTGTCTGAAGAAAGCTTCTTCTATTACTTCTTGATGATGCAGTCTGCTACAGACACTCACTATGATGTTGTCCACATCAGTTTGCTCACTAATTCTAACCCATAAATTCTCAACTGGCTCATCATTTGTCCCAAGGTAGAGCTTCATGCATTCCTGCTCCTCTCTCACATAAATGGAGATTTCCTATGCTTGCTGCAAAGCAAACTAACTTACTTTTCTTCTCAGGTGAAAAAAAACATTGTATCCGATTCAGTTTAACCAATGAAAAGTCAACACAACCTTTCCTGTGCAGTTTGGCACTCTTCTTCAAGCAAAATGTATATAATCTTGCCCACTCCCCTCAGATATTGCTCGTATCTTTACTTCAAACCCTCCCTCAGATAAATGTATTACTTCTAAATGAGCAATTGACAGCTGTCTAGCATAGCCTGCCTATGAACAAAACACAGCACAAACTTTTGTGCAGTTTCTTACACTGTCCCTTTAACATGACTTGAACAAATTTCAAGGGCAGTTCTGAAATCTATTCAAACAATTAACCTTTTGATCTTTGCTGAGACTTCTCTAAAGTGCCAAGCCTAAAAACGTAGTTATCGTACGAATCTTGCGCCAAACTCATTTACTGTCAGCTAGGACGGTTTACTGTAGACAGTCAGGGGATAAAGGACTGGGAGTCACATACATTTATCCACTGGTAGTTTTCCTACAGAAGTAAGCTTAAGATCAATGAAACCAGTGGTGGACAAGGGAACTTTGCAAACAGTCTTGTTTGCTTCTGCAAGCTCACGCCCAGAATATGCAGGACATGGCATATTTCTTTCTTGGAATGAATCTGAATACAGACAAATAAAATTCATGCCTTGTTAAAGAAAAGTTAATAAATGATAACCTGTTATGTCAGCAGTATGCATTTAGTACCTTTATTCCAGCATTTCTTAGCATCTCTAGGGTTGGTCTAACATCTGCTTGCAGCTGATCTTCCACTCCAGTGAGACACAGCAATTCCATTTCTCGCTCCAAACTCTCTACAACAGCAGCAACCTTCAGGTTTCTATCATGTATGCTTAACTTTGCTTGGTTATATCGACTCTGTACAAACACAAAACCACTTAAGAGTTTGCTATGACTCATAAAGTATATATTCAGTCTACCAATCAGTTATAATATGGATTCATTAAGCTAAATGTTTGTCTAAGTTTCATTAATGAAGAACAAGGTTAAAAGAGAAAATTTTACTTTACACCCAACGTTATAAATTTTTTTTGACTAATCACCTCAAGAGAATGCCTTCTGAAGAACTATTAAGAAGAAGGCATCACAGCATCTAAGCAGGAATTGCCCATATCTTTGCAAATAAGTAGATTTTTTAGGTCATGCTGAAGCCAAAAAATTAACATTACACTAGCTTCTGGGAAAACACTGTCCAGCCACATAACAAAGCAAAACCATATTCTATGTCTGACTGCAGAACGAACACTAATGAATGACAAAATCTCTAACAGATTGTGTGCCATATCTCAACTATTGGTATTTCAAATGCAAATAATCTTTTTTGCCACCTTAATAGGATAAAAAAGAGGAATGTTCTCCTTGAACTAACTAAATATGGTGAAGCACAAGATCACTCCATCCCTTCATACCTCAAAATCCTGATACTGTTCTTCAGTCAATGATTTTTTGGCCACAACCAGTGTACGCAGTCCTTCTCGTGCCATATTACCACACTAAATGGATCAAACCACAGAATATTTATGTAAATATTCAACCATACATACATGTTTTATACTATATGCTAGCAGGAGATAAGTGTACCATAACTTTTGGTGTTTCTCTTCAGATTGTTTTGGAGAAACCAAACAGAATAAAAAGAAATTATACTTCACGTCCCCCAGATTAAGTGGTATGCTACTGATAAGGCAATCAGATTTCCTTTCCTAGCTTAAAGAAAATTTCTGTTAGGTTGAAGCTTTAAAATAAACTAAAACTATTTTTGAGGCACCTAACAGAGCTATATTTTCTTTTTCCATTGAACGTACCTCTTATTAGAAAAATAGCTACATGTTAAAAATAGCCATGGCATAGCATGTCTTAATGAAAAACAAGGCTGTCCAGTGCAAAACACTTATTGATTTGACCCCATAAAGCTAAATAAATTAAACAAGTATTTTACAATTAATTGTGCATCATTATCGCCAAAAGTAATTTTTATGACATTTTGCTAGGTCTTGAGGGAGTTTAATTTATTCATGTCCCTGAATAAATCAAACTGCCCTGCAGCAGATATTGATTCATATTGCCAATACCATTATGAACATACATGGTGTAATCATTGTATTAACATATTGTCTGTATGTAGGGTCAAAATGAGATGATTGCTGGTACCTACTAGAGCCACACAGTGAAAAACATTAACCAGTTTTGAAATTCAGACACTGGCTATTTTATATTAACTTTAATAAATGTGGCAAAAAATATTTCAATTTGGCTGCAACCCTTATAAAATTTCATAATTCATAATCATACCTCACTGCAGAATTTGATAAAACAAAGGCATTTCAGGATAAATAGGCTTACAGCACACTACTTCTCAGAAGTAACTAGGTTTTATGTGAAAGGTCAGTCAATGAAAAACAAATTTCCTTGTTTTAAGTAAGAACGTGCTCTGCTATGACTACCAGCTATTCTTTTCCTGTGGGTTATTCAAGAATTGCAAATAATTCTAATCCCTTAAAACCCATTCAGGATATATGTAACTGGACTCCAAAACCCATTAGTGCATTGGCTAATAAAGGTTGTCCTTTAAACTCATACCAACAATACCTAATATTCAGATTTTAAATTTTTAGTTTTTACAAAATTTTAATTTCTAAAAATTTTAATTTTGTTTCTTACCTCTTCTTCTAACCAATCATTGTACTGTACAATAGTGGACATTGCAATATGGGGGAAGCTGTTTATACAGTCAAAACAAATACCTACCAATAACCTAATTGTCTTTTGAAGTAGTCAATGGATTATTAAAAGATGGAGTACCTTTTATAGGTGGTTTTTATTACTTGATGTTACTACTTCCAGTGACATCTCTGATTCCATCTAGATGCATATTCCCTACTTTCTTCTATAAGAGGACCAGTTGTAACTGAAGTCAATGTGAGCAACAGATTTTCTAGCATTCCCAAAATGCCCATCTAAATTTTAAAATATCACTGTTGTGTACCCCTAACTACTATTTTGTTTCTTTGCTGGCATATACTATCTAACCCACAACAGAAAGTTTGCTCTGTGTCTTTGAAATACCTAAGTAACTGAAAATTTATAAATAACTTAGTGTAAATACTTGTTACAGATGTTTTAACGATGAAACATTCATTGAATATTCAGGGAATTCACATGCAGGCAAATATAATCCAAATCAGGAGTTTCAGAGGTATGGTCCTGTCACAGAAGGAATGGATTAGACTGGTTTGCAAGCTTCTTAGAGTATCTCTGAAGATGTCACTGTTAAACAGGCTCTTTAGTGCCAACCTCACTTAATGAAATACAGACTTGCCAAGGTCTCTCCAGACCTGAGCATGCACGTATTCTGCCTGAAATATCCTTGCTTAAGGCTGATGGCATGCCTGCTTGTCATCATGGGCAAATAAAAAATGGGATGAGTTTGACAACTATTTAACTGGGACTTGGCACTGATCTAACCATCTAACAACGTTGTCTGCTACAGTGTCTGATTTTAGGTAGGGAAAAGGTAGAATTATGTAGCGTGGATGGCTTAATATTCGTAGAGGTTTAAGCCTTCCTTTTAGCATCTTTAGCTTCCTTTCATCTGAGGTTTCAATGATCATTACTATGCTCCCAGCTGGGCACCCAGGAGACAACTAAGCACGTATCTCGTAAATCTTAGACCCTCTGGGTTGTGCTGTGTATGCGCGTCAGTTCAGATATCAATACGGGGTCTGGAAAAGCAGCAGCGCTTGTAGTACAGAAAGATGGTAACTACTATTGTAAGAAATTTCAGCCATTAATTTATTTCTTGAAGAGGCAATATATTTTGTATGAAAGAAATAAATGGAAAATTAAAAACAAAGGCTTAAAGGCAACCTGCAGCATCAGAGGCTAAGCGTGAAACAGTGAAATTGAGAGAATGTAAGAGAAGACTTTGTCCTTTACAAAGCTCTCTGCAACATTAGATTAACCTGATTTTGCTACAATTGCTTGCCTAGTATTTCATGTGTACCTGTGTCAAAGATATACTTTCCATTTGAAAATCTCATGAAATGCATTCCCTGACCAATCAGATTCCTATAAAATGTAATAAAAATAAATATTCAGTAAGAACATCTTTTGAGAAATAAAAACCAACACCCAGAACACCCCCAAAATTACCCTAACTATGATCCCCATGCGCTTGCTCTCAGAAGTGAAGGGAAAGATCTGCAGAATATAGTACGTCAGAATGTGCCCACCAGGGGTCTTCAGCTGCATTGAGGTCAAATCCCTGTTAACAAGAGTGAGACCGACACTCTCTGTCCACTGCACCAGAGCTACCTAAAGAAAGAAAAAAAGTAAAAAAGAGACATGTTTAAGTGTGAAAGGTCTATTATACTGTTATATAAATTAGGCTAAAGCCAAACAACTGTTGCTAGGGTAAAAGTCTAAACTCTTCCAAGAATCTAGAAAAAAAATGTGAATAGCAGTAGACTGAGTTCAAAATCTTAACACATCAAGTGAGTATTTTCTTTCAGAAAGCTTAGAAAAATTCTTAGGAAGAATATAAAAACTTATTTGATCTTATTCTTGCAAATGAGGTACTTAGAATATATTATTCAGAAATAACAATTCTAATTAAAAAAACATTTATATATTCAACTATACTTAAAGGACATCCAACAGAAATGATGCAAAACCAGAATACAATTTCTGTACTAACAACACTGCTATGTAAGTAAATGATTTTGGGAGTATTTCCACAGAAAATATTTTTAGATCCCCACAATTACATGCAAGTTAAGACACTGTAATACGCAGTAAACACATAAGCAAAGGATCTTCTTTTTAGCTTACTTTGTTCACTTGCACCATTTTATTACTTTGTTTCGACAAAAATGTAATCGTGTTCTTATCATATCAAATGAGATGGAAACCAAGTTTACAATACTGCATCCCACAAACATGCTTGTGAAAGCCCCTTTTACAAACCCAGAACTGCTGCATTATACAATCATCACTATTAGCTACCACTACATGGCATCTTAAATGCATGCATTAGAGATTTTTTTTTTAATTTTGCTGCTTTAAAGTCCATGACATCTAGCTTCTACTTTCTCCTATGTTATGCTTTAAATAAACCATTAGATATTTTTCTATCACCACCATGGTGTGGTTTGTTGCTTCAAAAAATTAATACTTTAAGAAAACTGCTTTACTGTTAGTTCATATGCAAGCCATATTCCATATCTGAATGGGAGGTTTCTGATAAATTCTCATCCTCAATTCTATTTTTGTTTTTCCAAATGATAATCATTATTGGAAACCAGATTTTTAAATTAATAGAATGGTAATTATAATGAAGTTTACATGATTTTTATGGAACCTGCCTCTGCTATTAATTTCAAGTAAGATAAAAAAAATAAAAATCAAGCAGTCTGATAAAAGACATGCAAGTAGAAAAATCCCTAGATAAGTTCCACAGACATGATGACTAATGCTCACTAAAAATTTCACCCAAAGCAAGTAAATCACTGTAGCCTCTACAAAATTATATTTGGAAAAAGAAAAAAATATTTGTGTGAAGCCCTAAAGCCTAGTAGCGCCATCTGTGTAGGCACCACCAAATAAAAATACGGAGAGATGTAGTTACCAAAGAGAATGCACTTTGAAAGGCATAATTTTAAAATCTCAAAAATCACAGGAAGTCTTTTCAGAGGTTTTTCTTCTTCAATAAAAGTACCATATAAGCTGTAAGTGATCCAATACTCCCAAGGTTAATTTTCAATTTTCACAGTGAAAGGTTACTATTACATTCTGACCTGTAAATTGCATCTTTCTACTAATACCCTATCATCTCATTTATGTCTCTTTGCAGCTAGGACTTAAGTATTCTATATTTGGTGACCTGCATCTGTTTATTATTGGGTTTATGCTTGGCTTCACCTACCATTTGAATTAACATTTTGCAGCACAGTCATTTTGGATTCTTATACCTGGCCTACAAACAACTACTTCTTTTTTTTTTTTTTTTCCCTCTTTTAAATTGATCAGTACAAATACCACAGTAGAAATAGTCAATACAGCTCAAGAGTCAGATGCTTAAAAGGCCACTGAACAAACCTGAGAGCAAGACATTAAATTTGACACTTGTCCTTCAGAATGAATCAGAGCAGATAGACCTTAACAGCATCCAGAACAACATAGCTAGACCTTTCCATTAAATCTTTTAGAATATATAATTAAAAAAAAAAAGTTATTTCACAAAGGTCTAAAATTTAAATCTTAACAAATAAATATATACTGAATGGCTGGCTATAGAAAGTTCAGAAGAAGGATTCTTAGGTTAAGTATCTCTTCTTGAGACTTCCCCTCTTCAAGTATATCTTTTTCTCTTCAATACATTTCTGAAACCTTACATTAAAATGTTCTTGTAATCTAGTGTGCAAGATCAAGAACCTCTAGAATGTCAGGTAAATGCAGCAGTTGTGGCTTCTACAGAGCTTGACATATTGAATGGAGTCAGATAAAGCAATCAAAGGTTGGACAAGCACAGGAGTCTTCAATGGTGATGCTACCATTTTGTTTTTAAAAAAATCATTCTATTTATTTGCCAATAACCATTAATTTTTTAACACGTACAGATTAAATGTGTCGAGTTTTCTGCATCCAGGTTAGGGACTTACTTGAATATTTTGTCTTGTCCAGCTCATCATGATGCTTCCCTTCTATGGAAACTTGCTGTCTGGGAGACAGAAGTACAGTGGTAGATATAGGGTTCTCCCACTACTGACACACGGGCATGTACCTCAACCCACTAACTGTGTAGTGTTCTCAGGACAGGTAATATAGGTGGAGTCAAAGAGAGCTTCTGTGGTTTCTAACTTGCTAGTTGGCTTCCTCCTCAGTAGCAATCCAAAGGGTAAAGACAGCTACCCAATTCTTGTGTGACAAAGTCAAAGAAGCAACTTCCAAATTAGCAATGAAGGTAGCAACTACTTGTATTATGAGATGGAAATGCAACAGATTTGACAAAAGCTACTGAGAAACACCTCTTGTTTAGTGTTTCTTACTCAAAAATTTTCAGATATTTGTGTTTGCCACATGCCCACTGTTGAGCTCTGGTTGCCTCTGTCAGCCATGTCTCTCCACTAGAGGCCACCTGACCCCTCAGAGCTTCCATAGTTCACAGACCCAAATATCAAACTCGTCAATTACCACAGCAGAGATTTCCATTTAAAGTCAAATTTGGATATAGAAAAAATCTCTCAACTCAAGCATAATGTGTGACCCACAATGTAACCTACAGCAGTATGAGTTCAGGAGTTCTAAGCAGCTTCTCTGAGCAGGATGATGTATCCAGCTGAGTTACCTGAGGAACATGTACAGTGTGAGAAGGGCATGAAGAGGGGAAACTTCAGAAGCACTGTTATTACAGACCATGGCAGCTCTGCATACTAATTCCATGTTTTGGGGATATAATCATGACATTTGTTTAGAAAAATTCATTTACAGAACTGACTCAAAACAAGCAGCTTATAAATATCTTAGGTAGTTTCTAGAAAGTTTCATAAAGTACACAAGGTTGTTAAGTGATAGTGACACAGTTACCTACTTTATTAGTCACAAAACCTAAGCCTACTAGAGACAGGAAAATGAATAGTTAATGAATTATTATTAAGGAATAGATATGGGAATAAACCCCATATCAAGCACAGAAAAAACACTAAACCATTATTCCTGTTATGGACTCAGAACTGCATATTTAATTAGAACATTAGACCGATTTTAACCTAAAATAAATACTAGTCAACAATTTTTAAAAAGCTTTAGAAAACATTTAAACTGATAGGCCACAAAACCCTTGTTATATTTAATTTTATTGTAAACCAATTACATTCTAAATGATTTTTTTTTTCAACTACAGTGCCAACATTTTCTCTTTTTTTTTAAAGGGAAAAAACCTCTTCTACAGTAAGTTCTATTAGCCTATGACTCCTATTTAATAACCCCAGTGAATATAATTATGTGGCAGAAAAATGCTAAAAATATTTAAGCAGACAAGTCAAGAGTCAAAATTAAGGCCAACACGTAAGATGAAACAGATTGCACATAGAAAGCATTTAAAGGAACAGCCATATCTTTATTTACTTTTACTCTGAGGATGAAAAAACTCTAAGTACCTCCCTGCCTTATCAAATAACAGGAGTTTTGCTTCTCTCAAGAGTGGTGTTAGATGGCTTCAGGCCATTCAATCAGTATGTACAGGACTGTTCCTTACACAGCCCGACTCAAAGCCCATCTCTGAATTCTCCTGACCTTTCCCCGTGAGGGTGACTAACTTACACAAGGAAGGGCACTCTCATACCCTCTCCGATTAACATCTTCCTTAGCTTCCTCTGGACCAACAGGAAATATCACTTATCACCCAGCTGTCTTAGTAATTTTCAGTTTGGTGAATTACAACACTGTCCCTTCGCTCTGTGGAAAATAGTAACTACCTCTAGTTACTTGTCATCTTGGGAGGATGATAGCATAAAGAAGTCCCAGTTTAAGAAAACCCAATCTGGTCACTTGAAAAAATGCAACTCACCTTGCCTTTGGATACATGGGGTTATAAATCCACAGAGTAGAGGTATTTGAAGCACTACTGAATCCTGAAGACCTTCAGTTACTGGATCAATCCTAAAAGGCTGTTACTGCTTGGCAGAAGACCAAAAAAACGCCCTAAGGCTCTTCTTGCTTGCTTTAGATACTACATCAATCAGCACTGGAACATGCAAAGTACCATACTGCTACCGGTTCCTTTGAACTCTGGGCTGTTTGAAACTTGGCTGGTCCATGGAATCTAATCACTAATTTTGGTTTTTATAATAGAATATTATTTTGAGAGAGAAAGCAGAAGTGGAAAAAACCCAAACCAAAACCAACAACCCATCCCACTCTTAGCCTGGGTAAACTGAAACAGAGATTGGATCCTTACCTGACTCAAACATAACCTTTTATCTATCAACCAAGACAGAATAGCAACGTATTATATGAAAAAATATTCAAAACCCTATTTAGACTGAAGGCCCTGAGTGCACCCTCCTTTCTAGGAGTTTAACCAGATGCATTCAAGGTCATCTCACTGTTAAGAGCTGTGATGAAGAAACAGCTCAAAGAAGCCTCCATGGAGGCTGCCCTCTCCCTTTTATTTGGCTCTTATGCTTGGTCCTGAGCATGCTACATTGCAGTCACATTGCAGCTATGCCCACACTTGGCCACGTACCCCACTGTTATGGAGCTGAGAGACAGACACGACCTCATGGCTTTAGACCTGCCTCACTCACCAGACTGTGGCTAATACTGGTTACTGTCTTGGGACCTGATCCTGACTTAATGATTTGACTTCTTGGCTTGAATTCAGATATGCCTCACCACCAGAGACCTGTACAACAATCTATACTTTTGACTGCTTCTGGTTTACATCATGAGAAGTGCTCTTTCCACCTTGCTTGGATATTGTGGGGCTGTACACCCCATCACTGAGGCCACTGCCTCTAGCAGCCTGGCTATCACATGCTCAGCTCCTGGCTTCGCTTTCCATGTGGGCCAGGCTGCCATTGCTGCTCCCTAGCAGAAATATCTAACTGCTCACTATCTATAAAGTGTTGCTCAAAACAGTTTATGACCAACTAATTGTCACTTTCAACATACAATATTCCATTTTGAGCTAAAATCAGTTTAAGAAAAAGATATACCACCTCGCAGCTGGTATTAGCAGTTATCTACCCCATCCAGCAGTTTGGGAGTTCCCCCACAGTTGTGCTGACAGCTTTTCTGGAGCCAGGCTATCAACTTGACCACTTGAACTGAAAAATAACGCATATAAATAACTGCTTTGATGATTTTGGCATATAGGAGGGAACAATTTGTAGGGTGAGAAAGAAGGACTAGTGATGGAAATGTTGTAAGCTAGCTTTGCTGCTCAGAACTCTCATGTAACCAACTTCATTAATTTCAGAGTACTTAAGAGCATCTTCACTTCAGACAATAGTATCTACTTTCAAAATCAGGTTGCTATGTAAGGTATACAGAGGTTCTATGTGTGGTATTTTGAAGTTAAGGCTATTGGTTTGGAAACAGGGAAGAAGTAGTGTGATTTATTTTTCCCTCTGCCTGAATGTTCCCAACAGTTTCTGTTTGGATTGTTCAACAACTACTCATAGATATTTCCAATCAGCACTGGTTTGTTTATGTTTATAAACAATAATTTGATAACTAACATTTGCAGTCCATCACTTTTCATTGTGAAACTTAGTAATTAAAATAAAATTATTAACTTAAAAATACAGCTTGATCATGTGAAAAAACTGCTGATCAATATTCAAGACAAGCTACGGAGTAGTTATTCTTTGTGGGTCTCGAAGGTCATGAAAGTGATGGTTTTATGCTACCGAGTGATTTGCTTTTCACAATACATTGACAAAACAACACAATTAGTCTTGCTTCAATAAGCACACACAATAAAATGAATTAAACAATACAACATGTCTCATACATTACAGCTTCACTTTTGTAAACACAAAAGCTGCTTCACTAAGGGCGTATCATTTCCCTGTCTGTTTTTAAATGATTGGCTTCGTATCCTTGTAATTAATTTTAGCAACTCTGTTGTCTCTGGACAGAAATGTTGGAATTAAATAACTGACCACACTTTAAGGTAGTATTTAAATATTCGAAATCCTGGAATTAGAAATGCTTGAGAATATAACAGTGCAGGACAAGCATAACCAATAAATAGCTGGTTTATGAGAGTAAGCAGTCATTAAAAATCGTGACTGATCAATCTTTTCTGACCAAGGGGAGCAAAGGTCTTCAGAGGCTCCTGTTCATAGCATGCCCCTGAATTGCTGGGGTCTGTGACCTCTGAACTCCATTGCTTTACCTACTTAGCTTATAGCCTTTTATGATTGTTCATTACATTAAGGTAGCTGGCTTTCTACAGATGAGCTGAACCCACACCTATGATGGCCAAGTAGGAGCTGTTTTAATTTTTTTCAGTGACTTCTCAGTGAATGTTTATTGTTTGCTATGCTACAGCTGTAGAGGACAAGTGACAGACAAATGAAACTTTCCACTCTTTCAGAGAAAATGAAATATTGATCACTTATCATAAGAAACAAAGAGCCTGGCATAAGTAGGGTTCACATTATGAATACAAAATCAGTTACTTATCTCAGGTTACTCTAACAATAGATAAATACATCTTTTATGATGAATGTACCTACTTCTAAATGTGCATACTTTGTTATGGTTATATTTTATCTGTATATGGAGGCACACAAACACACACAGATGTGAAGAATTTAAAATGAATTCCTCAAGTCAATTCATTAAGTGTAGAGCATGTCAACGTATTACTAAACTGCTTCTTATACCTTCCTATATGGAAGAATAGTCTATACTTACACATTGTTCTCTGCTCTTTATATGCTATGGTGATACCATGCAATATTATATAATGCAACAGACAACTGTGCAAATAACATCTTTCAAAAGACTGCAATCAAGCCAGATCCATAAACAAAATCTAAGAGAACAGAATTGTAATGTTGAAAAAGTACAATGCATAAAACTGGTTAAGTCTATTAAATGATAATGTTGCTTATTAACCAAATATGTTGTGATAGGTCAGTGCTGAGGTTAAACAGAAAACATCAATTGAACCATTTCCCTAAATAAAGCTCCAGGGTGCAATATTCAAAGCACTTTATTCAATAAAAAATGCTTTTAAAATGGTACTTCGGTGATTGGGAAACATTGGCATCATCCGTCAACCTAACTGCAGGAAAGTTCAATAAGCTAAATAATGAACCATTTACATTATTTTCCTTAGGCTCCAGTGATTTGCAAACATTGCATCAATAGAACTCTTAAAAAAATTATGATAAAGACCTGCTAGTCTTTCAACTCTTAGGCTTTTTGCTGTCATGTTGCAATTTTTATGCTGTTTAAATGTTTTTTGCAGCTTCGTCTTTTTATAAGACTCCATTTAGCATCAATTTCTCATTATATAAAAGCATATTTGTTCAATATGATTTTACTAGTGTTTCAAGTATTTGAGAAATGAAAAGGAAATTTAATGCTGTCTGTTCTAAAATGTAAGTTTTTAATTTCACTGTCATATAGTTTGAATGTATGAGTCGAGATTATTAAAGAAAACATTATTAAAAGGATATCTGCGCTTTCTCTTTGTTGAAGCACTAACAGTTTCTTTGTTGCTGATTTCCTCTTCTACTTCCCTTTCCACCCTGAGTCCCAGATCTGTCATGTTAGCACTTTATCAACTTTCCTCTTTCCAAGGTCAAATTCCCTACTGTCTTCCCAGGGCACCACTTGCATAATTCTCAAGTCTTACAGCTGTTTCCTTTAGCAAATATGAGCAGAGAATTGCTCTTTATGGTAATATTTTCAAGTTTCAAACAAGTGAATGAATATACAAAAGTCCACAGGGATAGAAGAACAAGTGGGATAAAAAACCCACAGAGTCTATTGCACATGTCTTCATCTGATTTACTAATACCTTTGGCTGTTAAAGCAGAATTTTTAATTAATCCATAGCTGTTGTTGTATTTTCATAGCTAGATAGTTGCTGGTGCAGTCTTTCATTATATTTAGTAATACCTCATAGGCTCATTACACCGATTTATTTAGCAAATATGAGTATATGTGCATATGAAAATTTGTAAACATGTGCATAATGTAAGTCTAACACTATATAATTACAGTAACAAACCATATTTATGATGTATCTCTGGCATAAACAAATGTACTTCCAGCATTCTCAATTCACAATGCACATCAACCACTACTATATAACAACACAGAGAGTATTATGGATTATTGATTTTAGCCAAAGAGTAGTGTCTCAACTCCTGGCTAGAGTTTATTTTTACAAATGTTCTGACCGCCACTTTTTTATCACTGGGAACCAGCCACTTTATACTCTAAAGGTCTTTGACACTATGAATTATAGCATCTGAAATGCATGTAATGCCTGCTAGCTTGGTACTACATGAAGACAGACTTGATTTTATTTCTCACATTCCTAAAAATACTTGTTAGACACTTGTCATTTTTAGCAATTACAGCTTGCAGTTTGAATTGCTAAAGTTTTGTTAGTATTACATATGGTGATATATTAGACATAAACCAAATATGTACCAAGAATAATAGGCTATGCTGTGGCAAGATGAGGTTTGTGGAAGAATTATCAACCTGTATAGCTAGAAAAATACATAGGCTTTCAGATACACACTCTCTTCTTCACATCTTACAACCACCTTGTTTTGATTATGACTAAGCTACTGTAGATACACCACCAACAGTACACCCAAGCTTCAGACACTGCTAGAATTTCTTTAAAACAAAGACATCCCTCAACCTGCTCACTTTCAGAGGCAAATCAGCCTTGAAATACTCTGTTTCTATTTTACTGTATCAAGTATATACATGTTTTTATAAAGTGAACAGGCTATAATTAATTTTTATGTTTACTTTGCAGTATATTGAAACTTGAGCTTTGCCTCTCTTCTAGTATCTTTTTAGATGAGTTTTAGGCTATCAATTTAGGCCCCCAAACTGGATTATTTGGAACAATAACTCAATTCCACTGAAAGCAGTGGGATTTGTTTAAAATTTGGATTTAAATGGAAGTCAAATGCATGTTTTTATTGAAATGGGGTTTTAAATTTGTGTTACAGTTGATGCAGTTTTGACAGAACCCTGAAGATTATGAAGCTGCCTAGGGTTTGAAGCTCAAAAGCTTTTCAGGAGTGTTTGAGGTTTGGGATTTTTTTTTTCTGTTAAGAATCTATACACTCCACTAACTGTGTCTCTAGCTAATGTACCTGGTTGTCCATCACTCAAAGCAGTTTCATGTTCCCTGTTGCATGTATATGCTATGATTCATACATGGATTAATGTTCTGAGAATACACCCAATAACTTTAACTGCAATACTCAACACAGTACTGACCCCAAAACACTGACTTCACAGACCTTTTAGTCAAATGATTGAAAACACTTATGTAACAAACACCAGTTCTTTCCTACAGCTGTAGAGGAAATAAAACCAGATTACTGCTAATTTTAAAGAAAACCCAGCCCAAAACACTCTTCTTTCACATCTTTTTAACTTATCCTGTTCTTTAGGAGCTATTAGTTTTTTCACCCTTGCATACTAACCTCATCAGGGCTGGAAGCCTGGTAAGTTCGATTTTCATCACTGAAGTCCTGATCCACCTCTGCATATTCTGTTTCTCCAGACACACCAGCCCGGGATTCATATACTGGGGTCACATTGTGGCACAGTGCAATGGCCTTCACGGCTTCGTG